ATCTCAAGTCCTATATCAAATCGCTCTGTCATTTTTGAGACTCAGCATCAGCAGAAACCGTGCTACCTTCGTCTCCTCTTCCTGGAGCTTCCCTCTCAACGGAGTTTTTTTTTCCGAGAATCCTTGAGGCTGACACTGCTATAAATCAACTGGCAGGATAATTTGTTAGTACCAGTCTACCTCTGTACAGCCGCTGTCCATTTTTGCCTTTGATAAGATGATGAAAGTCAGTTTATCGTCGTCAACTCGCCAGTTCCGTTGCATTTCATATTCCTCATCAAGTGACAATCTCTCTGAACCAGTCAGCCTGAATGCAACGAGAATTAGAAATAATGGGGAAACCATATTCTAGTTCGCTGCGGACGAAGGGGCGTGTCAAACGGGATGGGTATGGCGCGGTGACAATCTGTTTCCACCAGTTGTTGAAGAGAGCAAGTGACAAGAGTGTATCGTATCGTTCGTATCCCTCGTTTTCTACAATACCAGTAACAACAAGTGGCAGAAAACGGGTTTGACGCCTAGACACACTCATACCACTCGACACGCCCCTTCATCCGTGCGAACTAGAGTATAGATTATCCAGGTGCCACGGAATGCCATAACTATTGGAATCCATCAACCAACTACTGGTTGATTACCAATTCGAAAAAAAGCATCAAAGCGAAGCAAAACGACCTCCGTATCTCGTCATCTTCCATCCACTTGTGATAGTTTGGGACGTGTTCCTTCTCATACGGGACGAGAACAATCTTGTTTCCCACAATTTTCGTATTCTCGTTGAGTTTCATTCTACAAAACACAAAAGGTTATGTCTCACACGGCCATGTAGAGCTATCAAAGAGCAATTGAAGCAAAGATGGGCCACCAAGTAAATCTGATTAATATGGATATGGAGAAGACCTGCAAAACGAGCAACTGGAAGAATGCATGGATTCATGGATAAAAGAGACAAAAGGATATGAACAGCTCCATCTATGATAGGAGTTGTGGAGGTCGCTCTCGCTACACACTCTCGCGAAGAATTTACTCGTCGCCTGGTGACCTCACGAAACCGGCGCATTCCCCCTTCCCTAACAGGGAAGGTTTGTTTGTAAAAATGCATCGTGCGGGACAATGAACGGAAAAGACAATCGTAATTTACCGCGCCGGCCATCCTGCGAGAATGCGCAGAGCTCTCAGTGTGCATCCGTTTGTCGACTGCAGCATCAAAGTTCGTGGGGGTATAAGCAGAGGCAAGACTCCTGCTGCGTGGTAGCAGTCTTTCGCGTCTTTTTAACATTCAAATCTAAACGACCGGACAGGACCACTGGTCCCTTGCGCGGCGTCGCTCGCCACGCCCAGTGCGGCATTCTACGATAGTCCTGTCACGTACCCTTCACTTCGAGTGTCCATGTGTGCACGTAGCACGGAGGGCATAAATCATTGCAATGAGGGCGTTTCCTGTTAGGCGTTCTAACAGGAAAACGATAGCGCTAGCGCATCGTGGCGAGTTGTCGCGCTACCGTTGCAAGGCTCTCTAACGCTATAGACTAGAACGCAACCACAGACGTTGTCGATCGACTCCGGCCGCTAGTGTACTTGAGAGAGTAAAGGAGAACAGGAGAATGCCAGAACGTTGACGCTAACGCTTTGGAGAGTATGAGAGAATAGGAGAATCAGAATACAGTCTGGTACTCTCCGATTCTCCTATAGGAGACATTTGTTAGGAGATGATTACACCGCTTTTATTAAACACTGCTCGCTCCGCCGCTACTGACCGAAGACAAAATGGGCTGTTAAAGAGATAGTATGAAAAGATAATCCATCAAATCGCAGTGATAGCAGCGGCTATCAGCTCATCGGATTTAGATGCTACTACTGTTGGATATCTGGTTGTGAAGATCCCGCGCAGCAACAACAACTTTATTTGAAGCCTTAGTATCTGGAATTAAAGACAGCGTCCGCGATCAGCCAAGGCAAAGAAACCCTGTAATGTACACGATCGCGGAGTCCGAGGATATCCCACTCCCAGAACTAGAAATCGATTGATAGACGAAGGCGGAGTCAACAATGATAAGCTGACTCCGCCTGTCGTGTTAATCCCGCCTCGATTGGTTTCCGTTATCAAGTCCTCGCTGGCATTGATAATCGCTGAATTTCTAGCGTTCGTTTCGTACCCTGATAGAAAGATTAACTGATAGATACAATAGATTAGTTAGATTAGATTAGATTAGATAGATAAGATAGATTCACACTAAAGCAACCTAGGTAATCGCCTCACAAGAATTAGCCGCAACGAGGCGGCGGTGAGTTCCAAGGAAGTCATCTCAAATCTGCAAAACTCGTCCGAATACGTTCAATCGAATAGGGTCTTAAATTACATTCTTGTGGCGCTTTGTTTATTTCTTGATTAATTTACTTGCGAACACTTCTAACACTTCTCAGCCCTATCACCTGCCAAAGTCGATCGCGGGCGCTGCCTTTAAGCCAAAAAAAACTGCATTAGGGATAGCTTCGGTGGTTATGCATTCCCCACCCAAATCTATCTAGCTTCCCCTTCAAGCGTCAATTGGTTTCTTAACGGAAACGGGAGGCATCCCAGGCATCCTCTTTTTTTGCTCATAATCCTTCAGACGCTTCTGGTGAACACAGTGGAGACTAAATGCGTAACGCGTTCCAATAGTTCAGAACAGCGCCAAAACTCTCGCTTTTGTTGCTGCAGCTCCTTGGCTATTCAAAATGAAACTGGTGTAATTTCGTGGCGTATCACATCGTTCGTATCATTGCCCGTCATGTTGGCAGGGGTCGAGGAATTCCCAGTGAACACACAAAAAATCTATTGAGCTGAATTCATATAAATACCGTACAGGTAGTAAAAACTAAATAAACATTAAACCCGTACGCTTGTTCAAGGAATGCATTTTGGGAGACGGTGGCGCCAATAAGTGTGTGCTCTCACAAGTTGCATATTTGAAGACGACTGGTACGAAGTTTGCGTTTCTTTGTAGTTTTCCCATTGTATGCGATAAATCCGGATACTGCAGTCAACCATTTTGGTATAACACTCGTCGATTTCAGTAGGGAACCATGTATAGACACGCGCTGAAACGTGGGACGGTGACACCACTGGTGAGTACTACTCTGATAAATTCGGGTTTCCTTATGTAATGTCTTTCTCTCAAATCATGAGTAAAAAAACCGAGTGATTGGCCTATATATCAATTAGTAACGGGTACAAATAGGTGTTTTTGAAGTTGGACCTGGGTTTTCCATATGTTGTTGTTTTTTCCAGAATTTTCTACTACCTTCGAGCACTAATGGGTGTTTAGAAATTTGAAACAACCAGTAGCACGTATTTTAACAAAAGGGAATCATTTAAGTCCCATAGACTGGTGTTTTACGTTTGATGTTTTTGTTTTTCTGAAGAGACGCATTCAGCTGAGCAGTGTGCGAAACAGCGCGAAGGGCGTCACGATCACAAATCCGTCCGCTGATGTACTGCCATATAAGGGTACTCCAGTTAGCAACAAATCTATCAAGGTATCCACTTATTTTCTCTTTTTCCGGTTCTCTTCCAACAGTTTTTCACATTTCTTCATTCCATTTGTGGTCTAAGTCAGTGTTCAGACTTCGCGACGGCAGTGGTTCGGTCGCGCATTCGGCGATCGATGCCCATGCTTCAACTGCGTTGATCGCGTCGAACGCGCGACGGCAAGCGCATATAAGCCACTAAGTGTAGGACCGGAATTATTCGAAAAACTACAGTACTTAGCTTCGTTGCAGGACCAGCTACCGTACTCCTGTGTTGCATTGCATGCCTTCTAAGCTGGCCTAAATTTACATGCGCTCGATTTTGGATTCTGAGTGAACGGGCGATATGCATTCGTTAAAAAAACGACTATGATACGATTCTGGACAGTCTTTCTGCCTTTTAGTGGGGCTCAGTATGCATATGCCTAGCATTACTTTTTAGTTTTTCCTAACTTGTGCGTACACTGATAGAAACTTTTGTAAGGATTTACATCAACTTGAGGGAAGGGAAATTGGTATTTTCAAGCACGGGATGAGGGAAATAGCAAGATATGTTCTCGTGATACAAACGGTAAGGCCCTGTTGAAACTACTCTTACCACAACA